TATAACAAGGGCATGTGTCCGAAATTTGCCCCAAAAATGTGACCAACTGTTGTGTGTCTTTGTCTCATGTCTATCATATGTATCATGTGCAATATGCATCATACATAACAAATGCATGAGTCCGAAATTTGCCCCAAAAATGTGACCAACTGGAGTGTGTCTTTGTCTCATGTCTATCATGTGTATCATGTGCAATATGTATCATATATAACAAATGCATGTGTCTGTGTATCTTTGACTCATGTCTATCATATGTATCATGTGCAATATGCATCATATATAACAAGTGCATGTGTCCGAAATTTGCCCCAAAAATGTGACCAACTGTTGTGTGTCTTTGTCTCATGTCTATCATATGTATCATGTGCAATATGACTCATACATAACAAATGCATGTGTCCGAAATTTGCCCCAAAAATGTGACCAACTGTTGTGTGTCTTTGTCCCATGTCTATCGTGTGTATCATGTGCAATATGCATCATATATAACAAGTGCATGTGTCCGAAATTTGCCCCAAACATGTGACCAGCTGTTGTGTGTCTTTGTCTCATGTCTATCATATGTATCATGTGTAAGATGCATCATACATAACAAATGCATGAGTCCGAAATTTGCCCCAAAAATGTGACCAACTGTTGTGTGTCTTTGTCTCAGGTCTATCATATGTATCATGTGCAATATGCATCATATATAACAAAGGCATGTGTCCGAAATTTGCCCCAAACATGTAACCAACTGTTGTGTGTCTTTGTCTCATGTCTAGCATATGTATCATGTGCAATATCATCTATAACAAATGCATGAGTCTGAAATGTGCCCCAAAAATGTGACCAACTGTTGTGTGTCTTTGTCTCTTGTCTATCATATGTATCATGTGCAATATGTATCATATATAACACATGAATGTGTCTGAAATTTGCTCCAAAAATGTGACCAACTGTTGTGTATCTTTGACTCATGTCTATCATATGTATCATGTGCAATATGTATCATATATAACAAATGCATGTGTCTGAAATTTGCCACAAAAAATGTGACCAACTGTTGTGTGTCCTTGTCTCATGTTTATCATATGTATCATGTGCAATCTGTATCAAATGTATCATGTGCCAATGTGTTGACTAACCTGCTTGTGAGTGTGAGTTGTCTTATCAGTGTGACACATGTATGTGCTTCGTTTCTGTTCGTATGGACTTTGGCACTTTCCCATAGCATCATTCGTTTGCCTTAGCCATTTGTGCTCCAGTCGTATTTCGCTTTCCGTATCTCTTTCCATATGCACACGCGCGTCCGCATTGTTGGCAATGGCAGGGCAGTGGGACGAACAGACTGGGGAGTATACCCCATCCAGCGAGGAGGTGGCCGAGGGTATGAGGCGCTGGGCTATGCCACCCGGCGGGGACGGGTTGGTATTCCACTGGCTCAAGGTTCAGGAGAGACAAAAGTACCACTACCACCAGCTAGGGGGGTGGCCGCTCCATCTTCGAGCTGGTGGCACCTCCTTCCGGGTATGCCTCCAGAGAGTGCCCGGAACGAGGTGCCACCAGCTCGAGGGGAAGGCGCGGCCACCCCCCTAGCTGGTGGTAGCGGTACTTTTGTTTCTCCTGAAAGGTGCTGCGCGAGACCACGTGGTTCGCGACTGCTGTGTACTTTCCGTGTATGTGGCAGGGACTCACGGGTGTATGCCTCTGCCTCTCGACGCCGGAGAGTACGCGCCAGTCCAAGGAGAACGGCATGGTCGAGAACCAGCGCCGTATGGGAGGCATCCAGACCCCAGAGTGGATGGCGTTCGCGGTATACTTCTACCCTGGCTTGGTATTCGGCAACTTTTCTGGTTTCGCAGATTCAGCCGCGAAGTATCTGGGCACACTTTCGGAAGTATTCCATCGGCTGTGCACCCAAGCCGGTATAGCGAACTGGAGATCGCACGTCTTCGTCGGGCACGGCGGCTGGGTGTATGCTGGCTTGCGCAGGCTGTTGCAGCTCCTGCGTATTCACGTGCATTCCGAGGTGGTATCAGGTCTGTCATACAGGCGCATGGCGAGCCTGGATGTATTTGTGGCAACACACACGGGATCCATGGGTATGGAGCCGCCATCTATGGCTCTGTGGAATGCCTCCGACGACGTCAAGGATGGTATCACCTATTTCCCGAAGCAGGACCATTGGTGGCACATGCCAGTATGGCGTTCTTTCGGGCAGTCCGAGTATGGGAATGTCATGGATTACCAGGTGGATCTGGGCATGCCGGCGCATGTCCAGGGCGTCCTGGCGGCATTGGCGCCCCACGCACGCACGGGCGATGCATCCGCGAGGAGGCGTATCGGCACAATGCTTGGACACTTGGCCCCTGATGTATTGCTGCCAGGAGCGCAGCTTGCAGTATTGCGCCCGATGCGTGCCATTAGAGACAGGCGTATGCCAGAAGATGATGAGCACAAAGACTCGTCTCTTTAGTATGTCTCCAGAGCACGTATGTGTCCAGAGCCGCCGCGCCTTGTCCTGCTCCTCCTCCTCCTCCTCCTCCGGCGGGGGGCGTGAGGATCCGGCATCGCTGACAACCATCGGGGCAACCATCGGGACCACCATCGGAACAACCATCGGGACAACCATGGGGACAACCATCGGGACAACGATCGGGACAACCACAACCATCAGGACAACCATCGGGACAACCATCGGGACAACCATCGGGACAGCGATCGGGACAACCATCGGGACAACCATCGGGAGAACCATCGGAACAACAATCGGGGCAATCATCGGGACAATCATCGCGACAACCATCGGGACAACCACAACCATCAGGACCTCCAACCAGAGAGAGCTAGTCACGTGTATTTCGTAGACGAATGAGCCAGTATTGCACATTGAGGCCGGAACGACAACCACAGAACAAGAATGAGCATGTATCGTCTCGCAACAACGGAAACAAGTCCTGTGGTATGCTGGCGCCACGCACGTGGTACCACTCAAAATAAGTGTCTTCGCTTGTGTGGTACAGAAACGGAAAAACGTCGGAAAACGGTACAGGTGTCCAGTGTTGGAACAGGGGGAAAAGTCGTATACTAAGCTAGCTTCCACAAAATGTTACCACAACAAGTCACTGTACCCATGCGCCAGTGTAGTAGCCAAGGTCGTCCGCAGGCCACGAAGTGAAGTGTCCGAACGTCATAGGGCGGGAAGCTGGGTGTGGGTGGTGGCGAAGAGTCGTTTGGAAACTTGGTAGAGCTTGAACCGGCCCCCCCACAAAGTGGGGGTATTGCCCGCCTCCTATGAAAACCCTGGCACTGGTGAGAACGGAGTGTCCCCAGTCTTAAATGATTGTTGTTGTTGTTGTTGTTGTTGTTGTTGTTGTCGGTGTCGCCGTGCCGTTTACGTTGACGTTGCCGTCGTAGTCGACGTCGTCGTCTTCACCCGGGGTGCCTCCCAGGCCTCCGACGCCGTGGCGAAGGCCAGGTGGAGCCCCGGAGAGTTCAGGAAGCGCTTGCTGGTCTTCGTCGCCCTCATCGGCGGCCTTGCAGTGCCCATGTGGATCTGGCCGTGGTAACCGAGGGGTTGGCGCCGGCCTTTGTCATGCCCTCCCACACCGATGGAGGGCGCTCTTCTTGTTGGGTGCCTGTTTTTTGCAGGGGTTGGCTCCTGGAGATTATTGGAACGAAGATGCTTGGGGTCTGGGGCATGATTCGCCTGTCGCGGCGAAGTGTAGTGGGCGTGTGCCAGCGCCGGCGGCGCGACACGCTGAGCAATCGCTGCTGACCGTGGTTTGGAAACATACTCCAGCTACTGCGTCCTCGTGGTTGCGGCTGGGTCCGCCTCGCTTCGTTTGCCAGAGGGCGCCCCAGGAGACGTCTGGGGGCAGAGTGTCGGGGTAACCGTTCTCTTGAACCGCTCCTTTTAATTGTCGGGCCAGGTTTTGTCACTCATGGCCAGTTGAACTGTCATGGTGACCAGGCGAACACGCACATGGCGACTTTGTACGCCGATTTTTGGGCCTTGCGGCCCAGTCTAATGTTGTCGGGCGCGAGTCGACGGGCGTTGCCCTTCCTGAACGCATGTCCCATGCGCGGCGCAGTGGCGCAAGTCGACCACCAGGAGCCCCAGACGGTGTTGGAACAGGCGCAAGAGCTGGAAAAGTCGGCGGCGCGCCCAGGGGGCAGGGCAGAGCGGGCGGGCCTTTTCTCTGGAGGCTCTGAAGGCCCCCGGCCTTTGAGAAGCTTTGCAAGCCTTCTCCGAAGCAACAGACGGCTTCTCAGAAGGCAGGAGGGGTTCTGAGAAGCCGCGCGGCTTTCTGAGAAGGCCTGCACCCTCTCACTTCCCCCCTCGGCGCACCGCCGAATTAGAAAGGCAGAGGGAGCACCAGATGGGGGAGGGGGAAGGGGGAGGGAAGGAAGGGGCTCGAGCCCTGCGCTCTCCTCTACCTTGCCAGGCCTCGTTGCCTTCCCCCTTCTTCGATGGCCGCGGCTGCTCCATGCTGCGTACTCGTTTTTGTCCACGTCTGCGGCAGTTAATCCGTGTCGGGGAAGCTCGCCTAAGCCTGGGTGACTGACAATGGAGCAGTGGAGGGTAAATGTCGGAAGGAGGGAGGGAGGGAGAGAGTGAGGGAAGGGAGGCAGGGAGGCAAGGAGGGAGCGAGATGGAGCCAGGGGGGCGAGGACATACACACGCACACACGCACACACGCACACAAACCACACCCAACACACACACACATGCACATGCACATGCACATGCACATGCACATTCACATGCACATGCACATGCACATGCACATACACATACACATACACATCTGAGGAACACTTGAGAGCAAACTTGTCAGCATATAATGTGGCATTCCGTTTCATAGTGCCGTTCGATTTCTTTTGCTCGCGTTTCCTTCTTCGTGTTTCTTGTCGGTCGTCCCTCCCTTCCTCTTTTCCTCGGCCTCGCCTCTTTGTCGTGCGTTCCTCTCTCCCCTCGTGCGTCCTCTCCCCTTCCCCCACAGCTTCGCAGTGGGATGCCGCCGCCGACCAGCGCAAAGGCCGCCGCCCTCCGTGTTTCACACCCTGGCGCGACGGCGCCCGCCTGCAGCGCCCCCGCTGGCGTGCACTTTGCAGGTCGGAGTCCGAGTTCGAATGTACACACATGTGTCAGCCTGTGATCATCATATGACCAGAACCCCGCCCGGGCTGATGAATAGACCCCGCTGGGCGCGATATTTGTTTAAATCACGCGCTCCAAGGGGAAGGAGGAGAGAGAAGGGGCAGGTGGGAGAAGGAGGAAAAAGGAGGACGAGGAAGAGAAGGAGGAGGAGGAGGAGGAGAGGGAGGAGGAGGAGGAGCAGGAGGAGGAGGAATAGGAAGAGGAAAAGGAGGAGGAGGAGGAACATGAGGAGGAGGAGGAGGAGGAGAGGAGGAGAGGAGGAGGAGGAGGAGAGGAGAGGGGAGGAGGAGGAGGAGGAGGAGGAGCACGAGGAGGAGGAGGAGGAAAAGGAGGAGGAGGATGAGCAGGAGGAGGACGAGGAGGACGAGGAGGACGAGGATGACGAGGAGGAGGAGACGATGGAGGAGGAGAAGGAGGAGGATGAGGAGGAGGGGCCAGGAGGGACAAGAGGGTGAGGAAAACGAAAGGCTGGGAAAGGCAAAGGGTCGGATGAAAGGCTGGGACAGGAAAGGGGGGGTTGCGAAGCCTGCTGCGCGCAGCTGGTTTCGGTCGCCCCGCCGAAGGGCCAGTCCTCGACGCATGGCCGCTTCGGCGCCAGGAGGCGCTTGGAGAATCGGCGATGTGAACTGCTTGGCAAATCCCCCGTTTTCTGCGCCTCACTTTCGTCCAGCCCGCCTTGCCCTCAGGCCTGCATCGGTTCGGCAGAAAGAGGAACGCCCTGGCTCGCCCTTGCCTCCCACCCCCCCGCCTTGCCTCTCGTTGGTGGCTGGGCGTCGGCGCTAATCACCGGCGCCGCCCCGTTGATTTTCGATCTGGCGGGCGCCAACCCGCGATTCGCCCGAGCAGGGAAACTATTTGTTTAAACGCGCGCCCCCCACGGATTTGTTAGCCACAAGCTGACCTTACGCCTACACATGCGCATACCTATGCACATGCACATACACATACACATATACGTACGCCTGCGCATACACATACACGTGCACCGCCACGCAAACACACACATACATACACATCCACACACCAACGCATCCATATTCACATACACACGCGTACACTTACATACACATACACATGCGCACACACAGCACGCACAAACCCATGCACATGTACACTTACATACACATGCACGTGATCGTATACGCACACATGCACATACACACATACGCCCACCCACACATACACATCGACACATACACACATTCGTATATACACACGCATACACGTTCACATTCACATTTACATGCGCGTACACGTGCGCATGCACAGACACATACATATGCACATACGTGTATATGTACGTATACGCGCACCGATACCTTTACTTTTGCATGTACACACGCATACACATTTACATATGCACGTACATGTACAACCACACATATGCAGATGCGCATGCACATCACACACATCTACATATATGTAGATGTATACATGTACACATTCCTATACATGAATACGCACATAAGCATACACATACGCATATACGCGACCATGCAATCTGCATATGTGCATATTTTTATTGACACACGCATCAACGCATATTTATACACACGCGCGCATACCTTTTCCATACACCTGTATATATTCGTTTGCACACATGTACATACACATACACACAACCAGTCGCGCATACGTATACTTAGCCAGTCATACATGTATACATATATATATATATACAACTGCGCGTACGTGTACATGCACAATTGCAAACATCCACACATACGCACAAATACACATGCACATCCACATGCACATACGGATACACATACACACCTACGCAGACCATGCCTATACATACCCGCGCACTTTGTATACACAGATACGTTCACACATTTACATATGCGTGTACACGTCGTCTGCATATATGTATACGCACATTCACATACACATTACCATACCCGGGTATGTATATGTAAACACAGTTATACATATACGTTTCATCACGCACCATGATACCCCCTTTTTTTTCTCTTGGAATATGCCAAGCGAAAAGGGGGGGCGGAAGGCGCGCGCTGTAACCGTAAAGGAACATGTGTGGCATAATGGATGATTGTGTGATGAAGAAGACAGGTGTGGAGTATCGGGTGGACTGTTGGGGACGGAGGGTGTGGAGTACCGGATGATGTGTAGGAGACGGAAGGAGTGGAGTAGAAGGGTATTGTCAACGTCAGTTTGGGGAAGGAGCCTGTTGAGTATCGGGTGGTGTGTTGGAGGCGGAGGGTGTTGAGTAGAAAATTATTTTCAAGTTCAGCTTGGGGAAGGAGCCTGTGGAGTATCGGGTGGTGTGTTGGAGACGGAGGGTGTTGAGTACTGGATGGTGTGTAGGAAACGGAAGGAGTTGAGTACAAGGGTATTTTCAAGTTGAGATTGGGGCGGGAGCCTGTTGAGTATCGGGCGGAGTGTTGGGGACGGAGGATGTGGAGTACCAGATGGTGTGTAGGAGACGGAAGGAGTGGAGTAGAAGGGTATTGTCAAGTTCAGCTTGGGGAGGGAGCTTGTTGAGTATCTGCGTGCGCGGGCGAGAGGAATTCATTCTGCTGTCCCTAGTGGTTCGCCAACATAAATGTTTCCCCCGCCAGCGCGTGTCGAGCGGTGGCCCGCATTGTCCCGTCGGTTGCCCGCCGTTGTCCTGTCTGTCGCTAGTGGTTCGCCAACATGAATGTTTCCCCCGCCGGCGCGGGTCAAGCGGTGGCCCGCATTGTCCCGTCGGTTGCCCGCCGTTGTCCTGTCTGTCGCTAGTGGCTCGCCAACATGAATGTTTCCCCCGCCGGCGCGTGTCAAGCGGTGGCCCTCATTGTCCCGTTGGTTGCCCGCCGTTGTCCTGTCTGTCGCTAGTGGTTCGCCAACATAAATGTTTCCCCCGCCGGCGCGTGTCAAGCGGTGGCCCGCATTGTCCCGTCGGTTGCCCGCCGTTGTCTTGTCTGTCGCTAGTGGTTCGCCAACATAAATGTTTCCACCGCCGGCGCGTGTCGAGCGGTGGCCCGCATTGTCCCGTCGGTCGCCCGCCGTTGTCCTGTCTGTCGCTAGTGGTTCGACAACATAAATGTTTCCCCCGCCGGCGCGTGTCAAGCGGTAACCCGCATTGTCCCGTCGGTCGCCCGCCGTTGTCTTGTCGTGAAATCGATAGTGAGATCGATAGTGGGATCGATGGTGAGATCGATATACATGTATATGCGTACATGTATACGTATGTGCACATGACGATGTACATGTACACCTACATGTAAACACCGATGTCTGAATTTATGTATACACCTTAGGCGATGCTTAAGAAAGCCTAAGTTTTCGACCAGAGTCTCGATTATTCTTAACGTTTCAATGTAAATCCTAAGATTTTGATAGACATGTTGGGTTTTCATTCGATTTCTGAGACCATGATTTTCTTAACCCATGATTTCTTAAACATTTCGCAGGGTGTATGCGTGTAGTTGGGGGGGGGGACGTATGCATGTATGTACGTATGCAAATATGCATGTATGTCTGCATGCGTGTATGAGGATCTACAGTTATTCCACATGCGTGGATGCGCACATACCTACACACGCAACCAAACATACATACCTGCAACCATAGTATGCCTACAAACATGCATGCCGACATACATACATACATGCATGCACATATGCATCCACACACATATAATGATACAGACGTGCACACATGTATGTATGTGTAAATATCGGAGGTTGGGGGGTGAGATCGCAGTGTGACGGAGTCCCCCCGCCTGGAAATCGAGTTTCGAGTTCGTGCTCGTGCCGTGGGTGCGGGCGAGGCGAATCTGCGTGGGCCAGGAAAGGAATTCACCCTGCTGTCGCCAAGGGCCCACCAACACAAATGTTTCCCCCCCCGGCCTTGTCAAGCGGTAGCCAAGGTTGTCCCGTCGGTTGCCCGCCGGTTGCCCGCCGGTTGTCCCGCGGCAAACCGAACGACACAAGTCGCCCAAGCGAAGGAACAAAACAAGAATCCGCCACGTCATCCACACCATCATCGCCCATCAGCACCACGTTCATCACAGTTGTCGTCATGAACCACCCCCCTCCCCCCACCGCCCCACACCTTCCTTATCACCCGCAGGGTGGTCGTATAGGTATACATATATGGCTTGGGGGCGGGGGTGGGGTGGTGCCACCGGTTGGCATGGGTGCCCCGGGCGTCTTGCGGGGTCCACGAACCCGCCCAAGACGGCCCACGAAGCCCCAAACACAGCCCAAAAGGCCCACGAGACAGCTTCAGCGAGGCCCAGAAGGGCCCCAAGACGCCCAAGAGCGCCCCGAGAGGGCCCGAGACGGCTTGAAGATGGCCGGAGAGGGCCCGAATAGGGCCTTCAACAGGCAACAATCTGCCCATTCCCGGTGTAAAACGTACGTTTTCAGCATGCTCGCTTGCTTCAGACGCCCCCGAGGAGCCCCAAGACAGCCCCAGAGAGACCCAAGAGGCCCCAAAACGGCCCACAAGGGTCGTCCTGTGGGGCTCACGGAACCCGCCAAAACGGCCCAAGAGGCCCCAAAGCCGGCCCAGGAGGCCCCCAAAACGGCCTCTGGGAGGCCCAGGAGGGCTTCGTTCGAAATCATGTTCCCGGAAATCTCTCGGGGAACATGGTTTCTGGGTTCCGAGGACGCCCGGGGGGCCCACAAGACAGCTGCAGCGAGGCCCGAGATGGCTTGAAGATGGCCGGGGAGGGCCCCAAGACGGTTTTCAAGATGCGCAAGTCGGGCCCATTCCTTATGTAAAACGTACGTTTTCAGCATGCTCGCTTGCTTCGTCGTCACAATGCCGCATACGCCCCCGAAGAGCTCCAAGACAACCCCAGAGAGACCCAAGAGGGCCCAAAACGGCTCAAAGGGTCGTCCCGTGGGGTTCACGAAACCCTTTAAAACGGGCCAAAAAACTTTGAAACCGGCCAAGGAGGCCCCCAAAACGGCTTCAGGAAGGCCCAAAAAGGCCCCGTTCGAAGTCATGTTCCCGGAAGCCTCTCCGGGAACATGAGTTCCGGGTCCCCATGACGCCCAGGAGGCCCGCAAGACAGCTTCAGCGAGGCCCAAGAGAGCCCGAGACGGCTTGAAGATGGCCGAAGAGGGTCCCAAGAGGGTCTTCAAGATGCAACAAGCTGCCCTTTCCCTTAGTAAAACGTGTGTTTCAGCATACTCGCTTGCTTCGTCTTCGCAGTGCCCCAGACGCCCCCGAGGAGCCCCAAAACAGCCCAAGAGAGACCAAAAAGGGCCCAAGACGGCCCACAAGGGTCGTCCTGTGGGGCTCACGGAACCCGCCAAGACGGCCCAAGAGGCCCCAAAGCCGGCCCAGGAGGTCCCTAAAACGGCTTCAGGAAGGCCCAAGAAGGCCCTGTTCGAAGTCATGTTCCCGGAAGCCTCTCCGGGAACATGATTTCCGGGTCCCCAGGACGCCCAGGAGGCCCGCAAGACAGCCTCAGCGAGGCCCAAGAGAGCCCGAGACGGCTAGAAGATGGCCGAAGAGGGCCCCAAGAGGGTCTTCAAGATGCGCAAATCTGGCCCATTCCCTGAGTAAAACGTGCGTTTCAGCATACTCGCTTGCTTCGTCTTCGCAGTGCCCCAGACGCCCCCGAGGAGCTCCAAGACAGCCCCAGAGAGACCCAAGAGGCCCAAGACGGCTCAAAAGGGTCGTCCTGTGGGGCTCACGGAACCCCCCAAGACGGCCCAAGAGGCCCCAAAGCTGGCCCAGGAGGTCCCTAAAACGGCTTCAGGAAGGCTCAAGAAGGCCCCGTTCGAAGTCATGTTCCCGGAAGCCTCTCCGGGAACATGATTTCCGGGTCCCCAGGACGCCCAAGGGGGCCCCAGGACAGCCTCCAAAGGGGGCCTAAGAGGACGTTCAAGAAGGCCCAGAGGGCCACAGGTCGTTGTGTTTCGCTGGATACATATATATATATATATATGGATACATATATATATATATATATATGTATATGTATATGTATGTATGTGTGTATGTATGTATGCATGTTTGTAAGTATGTATGTATGTATGTATGCATGTATGTATATATGTATGTTTGTATGTTTGTATGTTTGTATGTTTGTATGCGTAAGGGTTTCGCCCCCTGCCGCCGGCCCCCTCTCTTGGAGAATGGGCCATGGAAGAGCTAAGCCATGAGGTCTTGGCGCTGTCGTGAAGCAGTATCGAAACTTCATGCGAAGCCGATTTGCAATCAGCAAAACCAACTGATCACAAGAGGGGTTACCACACCTGGCGATTGGTAAGACGTGTATGGTTTACGGGCTTGGTTGCCACACCTTGCGATTAAAGGGCCGAGGGAATTTTTGTAGTTTGGGTTACCACGTCTTGCGATGGATGTGCGTGAGGGGTGGCACCGAATGACAGAAATGTGGCAAATCCCTTTTGTTTTTGGAGCATGACTCTGCGGATCTGCGTGAGGGGTGACACCGAATTTCATAAATGTGGCAAATACCATGTGTTTTTGGACTCTAACCTCGCGGATCTGCGTGAGGGGTGGCGTCGAATTTTAGACATGTGGCAAATCCCTTGTGTTTTTGGACCCTGACCCCGCGGATCTGCGTGAGGGGTATCACCGAATTTCAGAAATGTGGCAAATCCCTTGTGTTTTTGGACCTAGACCCCGCGGATGTGCGTAAGGCGTGGCACCGAATTTCAGACATGTGGCAAATCCCATGTGTTTTTGGACCTTGACCCCGCGGATCTGCGTGAGGGGTGTCGATTTCGAGCTCCCCCAGCAATTCAGACAACGCGCCCAGGGGGTGCTAAATATCTGGTTTGGGCCTCCCCCCCCCTCGCGCGGTCAATCAACTAGTTACAGTATCCAGCAAGAAGCAGAACTGTAACACTGGAAACTACAAGCTACAACTGGTACAGGAAACTGCGAACCCGCGCCTACAGCCTGGTGGCCCCACAAGGGGGCCGGCGGATGGATATATATATATATATATATATATATATATATATATATATATATATATATATGTATATACATTGAAGTAGACTGGGGCGGGGCCCAGGCCGGTGCAGTACCCCCCCATGGGGGGATGGGGGGGGTCCCAGGGCTCCCAGGATTGCCCGGGTCCGCTCCCAAACACGCCACGACACGCCAAGAGGGCCTTAAATGTTGCCAAGACAGCACCCAGAGGCCCCGAACACACCGAAGATGGCCTCAGGACGGCCGACGACGCAGCCAAAACGCCCCAAGAGCGCCTCTAGAAGCCCCACCAAGGCCCCAGAAGCTGAAAATCATACACTTTCCCATGGTTTTTGAAGCATTCTTGCGCTCTCCCATGTTCCGCCTCCCCACAGTCCCGGACGGCGTCAGAGGCCCTTCAGATCGCTTCAAGACGGCCGAAGAGGTTCCCAAGGACGCACAGAGACGGCCCAGGAGGCCTCCCCAGATAGTTCAAGAGGGCCTCGAGAGCGCCTCAAGAGAGCCCCAAGAGCGACCCAAGAGAGCCCGAAGAGCGCGACATTTCAAGGTCTCCGGCCTGAGAGGCTCCTAGGACGCCCCCGGAGGCCATCAAGAGGTTCCCAAGAAGCCCCTGAGGCTCCCAAGAGCCCCCCTTGAAGCGCCAATATGCCCCCAGGGAAGCCCCCTGCGGGCCCCCAAGACACCTCGGTAAATCGCATTTCCCAGAGCTTTCCGGGAACATGATTCCGTGGGCTTCGATCCGCCCACCGCCCCAACCATGTTTCCAATAGGATTGCCAACAAGGCCAAAAGGGGCCCTTTTGTAAGCCCCCAGAGGCCCCCCTCTTAAGAGAGCCAAACAAATCATGCTTTCGGAAATCTTCCCGGGAACAGGATTCTCGGGTATAGCCGCCCTCTGCCCAAACCATGTTCCCTAAACGCCTGCCCGGAAAAAAAACGAGAGTCCCAAGCAGCGCTATCCTGCCGCCACGTGCGGAAACGCGTCAGGCCCCGAAGCCTCCGGAGGCGCCCAACGACACCCCAACAAATCATGTTCCCAGGAAGCCTTGCGGGGACATGATTCCTCAAGCTTCCGCCCCAAGCCCCAACCATGCGTCCCAAAATGCTTGCCGGGCAGCCCCCCAATGAACCCTCATGCACGCCATCATGTTACCAGAAAGCTCTCCGATAACATGATTCCTCCGGCTTCCGCTCCCCGCACGCAACATCTGTCCCAAAGCGCATGTCAAGCAGGACTCGAATGGGCCCTCAAGTACTTTCCTACAACCCCCGCAATATGCTGATGATGACGATGAAGATGACGAAGGTGACGATGATGGTGATGGTGATCGTGATGGTTGTGATCATGCTGACGACGATATCCACGATTTCGAAGAGGGTATCCAGGAGGATGACGATGGTCACTATTACGAGGATCCTAGCTAGAACTTCAGCGCGGGCGAAGCGCGCGATGGTTCTAGTACGTGTACATGCATGTACACATACATGCTTGTATACGCATATAGACACAACTACATGTGTATACAGGCATATACGTAGGCACGCGTATATACATTACACGTACATAGCAATGCACATACATACGTACATATGCACATGGACACACACATGTACATAAACATATACGTGCATACAGTTACCTACAAACTATGTGTATACCTGCACACATGCATATACACATGTATACATATGGAAACACATGTATGTATGTAGAACGGATCGCAATTGTGTATGTGTATATCGGAATACATATACAAGTATACACACATAGTGTTATCAACATATCAATACAGACATACATATATGTCGGCGGTGCGCCGTGGCACGAACCCCCCCCCAGCACTACCTGGGGGTTTCGTGCACTACTGGGGGGTTTCGTGCAGCCCGCACCGGGTGCCGCCAGCGGCTTAGAACACCCCCCCCTTGCCGCTTTACCGGGGGGTTTCGTGCAGGCCGCACTGCGTCTACCTGGGCTCCCCCCCACCCCCTGTGGGAGTGGGGGGGTGGGAGTGGGGGGTGGGTTGGGGGGGGGGCAGGGGGGCGGTTGGGAAGGATGGCTCCCTGTCGAAGTGTGGCGTGTGCTCGCCTTGTGTTCTCTATTCGCGTCTGCTCGCCTTTATTCCGCCGCAGCCTCTCGTATTGTGGCTCGTGGCCACAATACGAGAGGCTGCGGCGCAACTCCCGAGAGCCGCTGTGGGGGGTCGACGGCACGGCCGCGTAGAGAAGAACAGTGCCGCCGTGTTCCGGCACGGCCCTGGGATGCAATGCCGCCGCCGTGTTCCGGCCCGTCCTGGTAAGATTCGCGCGTCGGGGCTGGGTTTCGCGCGTGCTGGGAGCGCGCCGCTTACGGAGGGGTTGCGTCCTTACCGGGGGGTTTCGTGCAGCCTACCAGAGGATCGTGTTTACCGGGGGGGGTCGTGCAGGCTCGCACCGGGAATGGCGCCAGCTCGAAACCCCCCAGGAGAGATTACCGGGGGGGGGGTTCGCTCCGCACCGGGCACCGCCGACATATATATATATATATATATATATAGAGAGAGAGAGAGAGATAGAGATAGAGAGAGATAGAGAGAGAGGGATAGATACATACATAAAGCGAGATCGTGAGAGAGAGAGCGAGAGGGAGAGAACGCGATTCGCCGGAGCACTTGGGCTGCCTGCGCGCCTTGGGTCGCGCCCCTGTGTTGGCAGGGTGCCAGCTGACTGTGACGCTATCCTGTGGCTCTTCACCCTGGCCGGTGCGGTGGAGTGGTGGGTCGCCGCTTACGGTTCGGGCAATGCTGAGCTGCGGGACCTCACCTGGCTGTCGGTGGCGCTTGGTCTGGGGAGCCCACGATCGCGGTTTTTCCCCTTCGGCGACCCACGCGCCCAGGAGGAGGAGGAGGAGGAGGAGGAGGAGGAGGAGCAGGAGGAGGAGGAGCAGGAGGAGGAGGAGGAGGAGGCTGCTCCCTCAATGCTGATCTGCTTCGAGGGGGACGTGACGTCCCGACCCCCCCGCGGGTGCGGGACGCTGACCGGGCGCTGTCGGCACGGTTGCCCCCCCACACTTGGAGAGCGCGTGCGCGCCGAGCCGGAGGGGGCGGGCCGCTCTCGGGGCCAACCGCGATCGTGCGGGGGGGGGGCCACCTGCTCCTGCTGCTGCTCGAGGGATGACCGAACCGTCGGACCGAGGTACAAGATCGAGGTCGGTGCGGGGAGGGTGCCCTGATGTTCTTCGCTCTTGCTGGATGTTCTTGTGCATAAGGGGGGAGGGCACCCTCGAATGCTCTGTGTGTTTTGGCCGGCGGAGGGTCTGATATTCTTGAGGGATGTTCTTCTGTCCTAGGTCAGGCAGTGCCGAGGGAGGGAGGGCGGTATTGTGGAGAGATGGAGGGAAGGGAGGGAGGGATCGCGGCGGGAGGCATCGTGGATCGAGGAGTCGTGCAGGGAGGGCGGAATCGTGGAGAGATGGATGGATTTATCGCTGCTCCGTTTTCTGCTCCAACGGAATTTCCAGTCAACCCGCATAGCAAGGATTAGCATTTTTCGAAGGTTTCCGTTGCGAGAGATATACTGGAGTAATTCACCTTGGACACGTCCGCGGTCAAGCAGATGAGGGTAGAAAAGGTATACCAGTACCATTTGTTCGATTCTCATTGTCATCTGCAACTTGTACGTCAGTCGACATCTTCCAGTCTCTTATGGGTCCAGAGGTACATCAACCAACAAACACAAAAGTCATATTTCACGGGTCACTGGATCGCCCTCATGCATACGTAGACGTGACAGGTCCAAGTCCAGCAACCAGTACGTCGTCAAAATAGCCGCACACACACGTCGGAATGATGTGTGGAATTTCTAAGCGCAACTGTCACCAACAGTTGGCCAGAATCTCCCACACGGGACACTCCCGCAACGAACAGGGGTGAGAGTGCACAAGAGGCAAGCGTAACCGTCACCGACGGTTGGCCAGAACTCCTTTGCGGGACGCTCTTGCACACTTTGCCGGCTGAAGAAAGATTGAAGTAGTATGGGCAGTCAGTGCATCTGAGAGAAAGTACCCACCAGTTGCCCAGACATCGGTCCTTCCCTGTCAAAAGGCAAGCGCAGTCGTCACCGACAGTTGGCCAGAACTCCCTTACGGGACGCTTCTGAGACGAACAGGAGAGGGGTACCGGCTATAATACTGATGTAGAGGAAGATCAGGTGGTAGGCGCATCTCGAAGAAAGTACCCACCATCCACCCAATCGTTGGTCCCCCTGCCAGAAGGCAATCTCAACCGTCACACCGACAGTTGGCCAGAATCTCCCTTTCGGGACGCTTCTGCAACGAACAGGGGAATACCAACCGCAAAGGACATTGAAGTGCATGGCGTAAATGGAGTCAGGACGGGCAGGAACACGGAGGAGGAGGAGGAGGAGGAGGAGGAGGAGGAGGAGGAGGAGGATCGGAGGACGATCGGAGGAGGATCGGAGGAGGATTGGAGGAGGATCGGAGGAGGATCGGAGGATGAGGAGGAGGAGGAGGAGGAGGTGGTGGAGGATGAGGAGGAGGAGGAGGAGGAGGAGGAGGAGGAGGGCGGCGAGCAGAAAGGCCCGAGGCTTCCTGGATGCCCCTCGGAGTCTCTTCGGGTGTCGTTCGAGAGCTTCTTGGAGTCCTCTTGGGGCGTCTTAGGGGTCTCTTAGCGTCCCACGGGGGCATCTTGATTCGCCTTGGGTGCCTCGGGGGGTTCAAGGGTCGAATCCCCCCCTGCGTTTCTTAGGATTTTTTTGTGGGAGGCGGAGCGCGTCGTCAGCTTGCTACTGGCATCGGCGCGGTATGCCCGCTGTGTTTCTTATCGGCGCTGCCTCCCCTCTCCTCTCCTCTCTCTCTCCTCTCTCTCTCTCTCTCTTTCTCCACCGTCCTCAGCCCAATCATCAGCCTAAGCCTAGCCGAAGCCTCAGCCTGACCTAGCTTAAGTCCCAGCCAACATTTGCCGAAACCTAGCCTAAGCCTCAGCCTCAGCCTCAGCCTAGCCTCAGCCTATGCCTCTGCCCAGCCTCTGCCTCTGCCTCAGCCTAGCCTAAGCCTGGCCTCAGCCTCTTCAGCCTAAGGATTGCCTAAACCTGGCCTGAACCTCAGCCTACGCCTAAGCACCGCCGCCTAGCCTAAGCATCAGCCTGAACCAGCCTAGCCGAATCCCATCCTAAGCCTCAGCCTCGCCTCAGCCTCAGCCTCAGTCTAAGCCTCAGCCTAACATGAAGCTCAGCCTCAGTCTTAGTCTCGGCCTAAGCCTAGCCTCAGCCCCAGCCAACACCTAGCCAGAGCCTCAACCCATTATTGCTACTACCATAGTACTACACATACATTATTATTTTCCTACGACTCCCCCACAACATTATTACGACTACAACAGTACGACTGTACCATAATGCTGCTACACTACTGAAGTATTGCAATGCTGTGCTGCTCCTCCAGCCACCACTACAGTGCTACCGCCACCACTGCACCAGAGTATTACTTCGACTTCAATAGAGTGATACAAATACAGTACTACTACGGCAATACAGTACTGGGGTACGGCTACCTTGCTTGAGTATTCCGATGTGAGAGCTCCACTACTACTACGGCTATTACAGCGCCACCACTGCAGCATTACAGTATAATGTTGCTACAGCCGTGCTGCGATAGTACGGCATGTGGCAATGCCTACTACAGCAGTGGAATGGAGCCCGGCAAGCCTAAGCATAGCCTCGAGCTTACCCAAACCTCAGCCTAAGCCTAAACCTCAGCCTAGCCTGCACTTCAGCCTGAGCCTAGCCTGAGCCTCGTCTAAACCTTTGCCTGAGCTTCGGCGGAAGCTCCAGCCTAAACCAATCCCAAGCCTAGCCTAAGCCTCAGCCTAGCTTTAGCTTAAGCCTCAGCCTCAGCCTAAGATAAGCACCAGCCTCAGCCTGAGCCTCGGCCTGAGCCTAACCTCAGCCAAAGCCGCCTAGCCTGAGCCTCATACCTTCAATGTCTATTGCAATGCTAGGGTATTCTACTACCACATTACCACCACAGCTCTACTATCACAATATTGGGGTACGACTACTCCTACAACGCAATTGCTAGTACACCACCTCGACCATATTAGAGTTATGCTACACTACTAAATTGTTTCAATACCGTGCTGTTCCCACAGGCACCAGTACGTTGTTACCATTACTACTGTACCAGAGCACCACTACGGCTTCAGTCGAATGTTATCAATACAATGCTACTGCGGCACTGCGTTGCTAGGGCACGGCGGCCGTGCTTGAATAGTCTAATTTTAAGGCTCCATTCAGACAGCTGTCATTACTAGAGCAATACCAGTACAGTGCTAAAGTGTCACGTATGCCATAGTACTGCTGCAGTGTTGCATTACGACTATTACAGCGTCCACTACCACTGTTACAACGTCACCACTACAACACTACATTACTATAGCACCACAGCCGTGTTTTTTTGTTTTGCCATGTTGCGGCAGTGACGCATTCTTGTTACAGTATTGCAGGCAATCGTTGAGTACTACTCATACGCATAATGTACGAGAGCACGGGTTCTACAGTGCCACTACTACATTAGTACACCACTGTCCCACAACAGTACGAAACTTTTCCTACTGCGCTACTACTGACGCACTCCAGTTCGATGATTCGAATACTAGATCCGAGTACGGCAGCAGCTGGGTACTTCTACAGCAGCAATACAGTGCCACTACTAAACCCAGTGATTGGATATGATATTCACTGCCAGATCTGAGTAGTACCTACTACTACTACTACTACTACTACTACTAATACTACTACTACTACTACTATTACTACTACTACTACTATTTCTACCACTACCACTACTACTACTACTACTGCTACTACTACTACTACTACTGCTACTACTACTACTACTACTACTACGACTACTACTACTACTACTACTACGACTGCGACTGCGACTGCGACTACGACGACTACTACTACTACTACTACTACTACTACTACTACTATTACTACTACTACTACTACTACTACTACTACTACTACTACTACTACTACTACTACTACTACTACTACTACTACTTGCGGTCTCGTGCACCACATCACCACGGCTCAACCACCTAGGGAAGAGCGTCCTTGCGGCTGCCTCATTACCAGTATGTAGCGCGCACCTCTTCTGTGTGAAAGGGCGGGTCTGACATGCTTGCAACGTCAGGCGCTCGCACCGTGGGCAGTTGGACCAACAGCCCAGGGTGAAGCGCCTGCAACGGCACAGCAGCACACGGGGCGACCCCAGTACCGCCACCCAGGCCGACTAGCGCGGGAAGGCGCGAGGCTAGGCCTGGGTGGCAAGCCAAGGGCGGGTCTGACGTGCATGCAGCAACTGGCGCTTGGCCGAGGGCAGCTGGCCCCTACAGCAAAAAGTAAGGCACAGGCAACAGCATAGCAGCACACAGGGCGACCCCAGTACCGCCACCCAAGCCTACTAGCGCAAAAAGGCGCGAGATGAGGCCAGGATGACAGGCCAAAATGGCCAGGCGCCCGACGGCGACGCTGCAGTGCACGGGGCTGCCCCAGCACCGCCAGCGAGGCCAACGAGCGCAAGTGAACGTGAGGAGGCCGAGATGGCAAGCCAGTTGGCGAGCCACGGTGGCAGAGTGCACAGGTAGCCATTTGCCAAGCCTAGGTGCAGGCTGCAGGTGACGCCACGCGAGTGGGGGCGCCGCTATGGGCCCGCCACACTACAGAAAGCAGCAAGTCGACACTTTGGCATGTACCCACGCGGCCTGCCAAGGCCCTGGAACCTGCTGGGCATTGTCCCTCAGGCCTGCTGGCATGT